AAAAAAAAAAAAAAAAAAGAAAAGAAGTACTACTTTTGCACTCTTTTGACTTATTTAAAGGAACTTAGGTAAAGAAATATTGTGTCTGTTCTAAAGTAACCAGTTAATTAAGGTATCATCTTAAGTTTTAGGACACCTTTCATTTTTAAAGTATTGAATTCTGCTTTTCATGTGCAAGAATTTGAGACCTCTCTTCTGTAAGTTTTGTCCTAAGTAGAGGTAGCTTATATGAGGGGAAATTAAGGTGTCAGTTAATGATTATAAGAGCACCCTAGGAGTTAAGGTGAGAAAAAGGTTACTCAAGTTTTTGTTAACCCAGAGATACACTAAGAAATATTGGAAGTTTCCCAAATTAACTTGACATTTAGCTATTGGTTTTATAACAAAAGTCGAAATTTCTGAGCCCAATAGAAATACATCCCTGGAAATGTAATACATATATATTAATTGCAAATACATAGTTTTTGAGACTAAGGTAGGGAAAATGGGATAGGTAGTATTTGAGAACATCATCGACATTTCAGCTGTTGCTGTGAAAAGTTTGATTAAAGTTAATGATGCATATTCTGATCCAGTAGCTAACATGAACCACTTCATTGTATTTATACTGCATTTACATTGTACATATATAGGTATATTGTTTTTAGTGCATCAGTGACCTTTTATTTTAGAGTGAATTTATTTTAAAAAATTGTGAACATGCTAATTTGTTTCCCTTTATAGAAACAAAGTTGAAGTTTTAAAGATAAATTCCTGTAGTACTTTACTGTAGAAACTATTGTCCACTGCTCTCCTCTGTGCTCTACTTTATTCTGTGCGTTGTTAATGAGTATAGTGTAAAATACAGAACTTTTAAAAATGTATATTGTCAGGCATTGATTTATTCATGTGTTATTTTGTTCAGATTTTATTTATATAATAATAGTACTTAATTATACTTTTCAAATATATGAGTGAGTAAACTTTTAAGTCAGATGTCAGCAAACTCTTTCCATAAAGGGTTAGATAGTAAATAGTTTAGACTTCACAGAATTTAGGATCTCTGTTGCAACTTTGGTATCATGGTGGGAAAGCAGCCATAGACATTTCTAGATGAATGAGGATCGCTATGTTCCAATATAACTTTATTTACAAAAACAAGTGGCTGACCGGTTTTGGCTCATAGCTATAGTTTGCTGATCAATGTTTTAAGTGATACATTAATACGCTATACGTTCAGTATTAAAGTGAAGAGGTTTTGGAATAATTAAGGAATGAGTGGCGTAGAAAATCTTAGAGCCTGTTACTGTTTTGTTTGGAACAAAGTCCAGTTGTTAAAATTTTCTAGCATTTGTGATGACACATTCTTATTTTCAAAGTAGAAAATGAGTCTTTTCTTCCTGTTAACAGGAGAGGTATTCTTCTGGAGCAAATGGAGACACTTTTAACAGGACTCCAGCTTCATCATCAGGTATGTGTTGAGGCAAAAAGATGGATCCTTTTCTAGGTTAAAGGCTTCACCTAGTGAATAAGGAGCAGACTAGTAGACATCTTATAAATAGTGTTTGTTAGATTTCTGTGAGAATTCATTCTGTTGGGATGTTTTTAATGAGGGCCACTTCCAGCTAGAGGAAGCAAGAGAGGAGAGAGTATAGTGATACAGACCATAGTGCTTTAATATTATTTGGTTTTGTAGGTTTCCTGTAAATCCTTTGCCCAACTTGGAAGTTGTATATTTGTCTTTCATACCACTAGAGAATTGTCAGGGTTCCTGACATATGGAAGTAGGATATGGGATTATTAGGTTGTTGTTTGTTTTTACATTGTAAATATTAAATATTTAATATGTAATATTAACACTACACAAGCAATGGGTCAGTTAAGAAATCAAATGGCAAATCAAAATATGTTTCAAAAGAAAAGAAAAAGAAAACATAATATTCCAAAACCTATGGGATGCACCAAAAGCAGATGTTAGAGTGAAACTTAAGTTATAAATGCTTGTATTAAGAAAAAAACTTGGGGTGCCTGGATGGCTCAGTAGGTTGAGCATCCAACCTCGGCTCAGGTCATGATTTCACGGTCCATGAGTTTGAGCCCTGTGTCGGGCTCTGTGCTGATAGCTCGGAGGCTGGAGCCTGCTTCAGATTCTGTGTCTCCCTCTCTCTGACCCTTCCCCGTTCATGCTTTGTCTCTGTCTCAAAAATAAATACACATTAAAAAAAAAAAAAAGTTAAACAACTTAACATGACACTGCAGAGAGCTAGAAAAAGAATAAACTTAGCTGAAACTTAGTAGAGGAAGGAAATAACAAAAAACACAGACTAGAATAAACAGTTACATAACATTAAAAGTAATGACCAGTTTTTCAAAAAAAATCCCTGCAAAATTGGCAATGTTTTAATTCTATTAACTAGGAAAAAAAGACTCAAAATTGAAAAGAAATGGAAGAGAAGATGGTAGATAACCACAGAAATACATAGTGTGATAACAGATTATTATATACATTTAAATACAAATCAGATAATTTAGGAAAATAAAACATATAATTCCTAAAAACACACCAGTTACCATGATTGAATCATGAATCTTGAATCCAAGAAATAGGAAATCTTCTTAGACCAATAAAAAGAATGAAGCTGAATTAAGAATCAAAACTCCAGCATGGAAAAGCCCAAGACCTTATAGTTATATTGGTGAATTCTACCAAATATTAAAAAAAATTAATGATACTCTTTATCAAAGTTTTACAAATAATGGAATAGAGGGAACACTTTCAGAATCATTCCATGAAACCAGTACTACCCTGATACCAAAACAGGATAAAAACAATACAAGAACAAAATCTAGTTTGTCCCATGTCAGTATTGGTACTCCAGCTTTCTTTCCTTTGACATCCGTTTGCGTGATAAATGTTCCTCCATTCCCTCACTTTGACCTGCAGATGTCTTTAGGTCTAAAATGAGTCTCAGGGCACCTGGTTGGCTCAGTTTATTAAGTGCTAGACTCTTGATTTTGGTTCCGGTCATGATCTCACAATTGATGAGATCAATCCCCCCTACCATAATCTGCGCTGACAGCATGGAGCTTGTTTGGGACTCTCCCTCTCTCTCTGCCCCTCCCTCCTCATGCTCTGTCTCTCAGAATAAATAAACGCTAAAAAAATAAAATGAGTATCTTGTAGGCTATAAGGTTGTTGAAGTAAGTTGCAGTAGTAGTGACCTGTCAGGGTAATTGTTTAATCCTGGGAAGCCATCAAGATATCATGAGTTTTGGGGTGTCTGGGTGGCTCAGTCAGTTAAGTGTCTGACTGGATTTCAGCCTAGGTCAAGCTGTGTACTGAGTGTGGATGATGCTTAAGATTCTCTCTTTCCTGAGGCACCTGGGTGGCTTAGTTAGTTAAGCGTCCGACAGTTGGTTTTGGCTCAGGTCATGGTATCATGGTTTGTGAGTTCCAGCCCCAAGTTGGGGTGCAGAGCCTGCTTGGGATTCTCTCTCACTCCCTCGCTCTCTGCCCCTCCACCACTCATGCTGTCTCTGTCTCATAAGTAAATGAAAAGACTTAAAAAAAAGATTTTCTCTCTCTCTCCCTCTTTCCCTTTCCCCTGCTTGCCTGCACTCTCTCTCTCAAATAAAAAAATAAAAATTAAAAGCAAAATTTAATTCCCATGTTCACCTTAAGTTCAAAGTAATTATCTTGACAGAAGTTAAGAGATGCTTTTGCTGTTGTCAAGATGTATTTATTTTACATAAACTTTTAAATGTAGTGGTTTAATATAGAATATTCAGATTAAGAAAAGTTGATGAAATTGCTGCCTGCTGAAACCCCAGCAGAAGGCTAACTTTGCTTCCATCCTATGAACTACTTACATGCATGTGTACTTGAAATATCCAGAAAAGACAAACAGGTAAAAGATTCTGTGTTTATTTGCATAGATTACTATATCATCAGGAGAAACCTTGTTCTTTCAGGTGCTGAAAACCAATTTTTGTAAAGGAATTAAAATTTAGATGTATATCAAAGTAGAACATTGTTTTGTGGTGAAATCTTGAAGAAGCTAGATTGAAACAGCCACCAACTTTAGCATTAGATCTCTGAATGTTTAGGCAAATGAAATGAAATCAGGTAATGAAAAATGCTATCTACAAGAAGGTAAGCATGCAATTTACAAGTATTTTTTGTAGCTCTTTTTTTTTCTTTTTTTTTAATTTTTTTTTTTAACATTTATTTATTTTTGAGACAGAGACAGAGCATGAACGGGGGAGGGGCAGAGAGAGAGGGAGACACAGAATCGGAAGCAGGCTCCAGGCTCTGAGCCATCAACCCAGAGCCTGATGTGGGGCTTGAACTCACGGACCGTGAGATCGTGACCTGAGCTGAAGTCGGACGCTCAACCGACTGAGCCACCCAGGCGCCCCGTAGCTCTTTTTTTTTTTTTTTTTTTTTTTTTTTTTTCATAGAAATGGACTTTTTATTATAGAAATGCATATGAAGCTAATGAATGTATCTATGCCAATACCTAAATATGTGCTTGGAGAAAAAAAAAAAAAAAAACCCTTAAATGCAGGTAAAAAGGAAGAAAGAAATGATCTGAAATTTTGGCCCCAGATTAAGCCACCATTGGGAGTATGTTGACTGAGATGTTTTAGATTTCTGCATATATTCTTACATACATAACTGTATTCCAATGGCATATTATATACATGTTTTTAAAAATTTTTTATTGAAGTATAGTTGACATACAATGTTAAATTAGTTTCACATATACACCATAGTGATTCTACAAGTTTATACATTGTTATGTTCACATCTGTCACCATACAATGCTATTGCAATACAATTTACTATATTCCCTATGCTGTACCTTTTATTACTGTGACTTATTCATTCCATAACTGGAAAGCTTGTACATGTTCCTTTTTATCACAGCTATGTGTCTTGCTTTTCCTTTGTTTACCTACCGTCCACATCCTTTTAACAATCTTAAATAGAATCTTGTTAAAATGCATATCGCTTTTGGCGTGCCTGGGTGAATCACTCGGTTAAGTGGCAGACTTGGTTTTGCCCCAGGTCATGATCTCATGATTCATGAGATCAAGCCCAGCCTCTGGCTCTCTGCTGACAGTGTGGAGCCAGCTTGGGATCCTCTCAGTCTCTCTCTCTCTCTCTCTCTCTCTCTCTCTCTCTGCCCCTTCCCAGCTCATGGTTTCTCTGTCTTTCTCTGTCAAAAAAAAAAAAAAAAATGCATGTTGCTTTTAATGATAGTCATAGAAACCCTCCTAAGTCAACTATTATAATCTTATTCTTTGCAAAATTCAGTGGAAAAAATTCATGTTAACTGATTTTAAAATGTCACTTGGTAACTTCACACCTTACAATTGAAAACATTTAGTTCCCTTTCTCATTCATCATTTAACTCAGTATCTATCATGAGTATTTAGCCTTTCCCCTTCCCTCGTGCAACCTCCCTCACACTTCTTCCCTTCCCATTCTCCTAATAGTTACACTTTTTGCTTAAAAATCTAAATTCGTTTTTTATATCTGCATGGCTATGTATGTATCATTCTCATTTGAGACATAAAATATGTTATGGTTACATTTCTTTGTTATTTTATACAGTATGCTCTGTTATGTTCTCTTCTGTTTTGTTTTTAGTACACTTGCTGCTCTCTTGGCTCGCATCCCAAGAATTAATAACTTCACCTCTTCTTCATTCCTGTTCAGTTTTCCATGGATCCCATGTTTTCTCTGTCTTAATTTTTTTTCACCCCCCCCCTCACTTGGGTAGAGTCAGTTTTCTTTCATCTTGAGAAAGGAAGAATAGGACATAAATTTGAGATATTACAAGTGTCTTTACCTTCATGCTTAATAGTTTAAGAATAAAATTTCAGGTTGGAAATAATTTCCTCCACAGACTTCATATTGCCTTATTGTACATGAAATTCTAATGAGTTCTGGTCCTTTGTGTATGACTATTTTTCTGAATTCTTCTAAAGTTTTAGGATCTCATTTTGTCTTCTGAATACTGAAAATTTAATGATTATGTACCTTGATGTGGGACTTTTTATTTATTGTGTAAGACACCTAATGAGCCTGTTAAATCTGAAATACATATTCTGCACTTTTGAGAAATTTCCTTGTGTTATTTTTTTCTCTGAGGATTGTTAGTTTTATTTGAAGGTTATTTCTGTTGTTACTTAGAGTTTTTTCTTTCCTGTGTTTTCTGTGTTTTTGATTTTTATTTTTCATTGTTTATTACTTTAATTTTCAGAAGTTTAAGAGTCAAAAAATTAGGGAACATTATAACATGTATCCTAGTATTTACCACTGATTTAGCATTTTTCTTCAGATTTCCTTTTAATGAAGTAGAATATGACAGATGAAACTGAAATCCTCTTTAGTCTCTCTTGAATATTGTTCTTTGTATCTGTTCTCTCTTTCAAGAAACAAATATAATGTATGTAGTAACT